CGTTACTTTTTAAATTTAGTACTTTTACTTGTACTTTCGTTACTTTTTTAGGGAAAAAGTACAAGTATTTGTAACGGAAATGTTGAATGAAATCGTTACTTTTTTCTAAAATTCGGTAAACTTTCTAAAAGTAAAAAAAAATTAAATTTAAAAAAAATGCTTATGTTTTTTTAATTTATAAAATTAATGTGCAATATATATGCATTCACAGCTAACTTCGTGTTTAAATACCTTGACCTTTTAAAATTGTCATTCCTGAAAGGGAAAAGACGGTTCTTTTGATCTTTTTTTGACTGCAACTATCATTGTGAGTGGAGTGTTCTCCAGAATTGTGTGTCCAGAACAGTCATTATTTATCTTCTGAAAATTGCCTGTGATAAAGGATGACATCTAAAATATTATAATTTTTTTTATTGTGCAACAAAATATATTTTTTTTAATTATATTAAACGTAACATATATACTATTAAGTAAACGCATTAGTTATTCATATAAATTATAAAATTATATTATAATATTCTTCCGAATTTAAAAATAAATTACTGTCCGTAACTTTCAAAATTAAAATTAATTAAATAAATAACAACAATTTTGCAAAAACATTAAAGAACATAAGAATATCATTCAATAAAATTTTAGGTTACTTTGAAGTTTCGATTTCCTAGAAATGTACTTTTAAATCGTTACATTTTTTGTTTAGTACTTGTACTTTTACTTGTACTTTTTACTCGTTACTTTTTAAAATAAGAACTTTTTACTTTTTACTCGTTACTTTTTAATACAATACTTGTACTTTTACTCGTTACTTTTTAAAAGTAACGTTGCCATATATGATTACTGTACGTAAAATAATGCATTAAAAATAGACTGTGAAATATCTTATTACTTGTAATATTGCTTTTTTGTCATTTTTTCCTGTTTATGATTTATTCCTTTTTATAATATAATATATAATATTTGATTTGTTGATAATAGCAGACATAAAATAACAGACATCTGTTAATGCCAGTCTGGTCTGACTATAGTCTGGCCATCTTGATATGAGCTCATAGTGCAGTCTTTTTCAGTTTAGTTGAGGACCTATCTTGTTATCGCCAGACAGTATTCATTGTTCCTTGGAGCCTTAAAAGTAGTTTACAATTATCCGACAATTTCGTTTTTGTCAACATGCCTCCCAATGAGGTAAACCAGGTTTGAATCCTAGAAATGGCTGGTGGATGCGAATTCTGCTCCCGGATCGCACCGACCACAATGCTGACATAAAATATCCTCAGTGGCAGAAGGATCTCTGATTAGAGTCTCCGCGTCATCAAACTCACCGTGGGAGTTTTTTTTGTGGTTTGTTGTTTTACTTAGTAACATAAGTGTGGACTAGTTTCATCAAGAAGTTCTCCATGAAGTCAAATTTCTGCCATTACTTAATCAATGAGTTCCCTTGTCTTCTGGATTGGGTTCAAAATTACAAGGCTACAAAGTTGAACATTAGTAGTTGTAAACTCAAAATTGGGTCAGCTGTTCCACGACGGTTATAAAATAAAATACACTCGTAATCTCTTTATCATCAGATAATTTAGAGAGTTTCGTGTTTTTTGAAAAGAAGTTTTGATAAACGTTCAACTGTTATCAAAAGCTCTATTTTTTTTATTTATTTGTGAACAATATGTTCAAAATATTAAGAATTATTTTTTGTTTCATTTCACAAAATTTTTATTAATTAAAACATTTGCTGTTTTGTATTATTTTTGTTTATTTGATTAATTTAAATTTTTTTATTTAATAGGAATTATGGATGCTTCTAGAGCAAAATCTTTCTCCACCTTTCACTACTGGAGATCACATGATTAATTATGCTGACTTCAAGAAAGTGAAAAATAAGTGCCATGATAAATTTAAGTAAATCACTGTTTTGTAGTATACAAGTTATTGCGCAGAGTTTTTGCTCTTTTAATTACTCAGCGTTTTTATTTTCTCCATTATTATCAATATTTTGTTCTAAATGCCATTAAATCTTTGTTACAAAAATTAAAGTTATTCTTTTAATTTTTTCGTTATATTCTCTTTTATTACATATTCAATGTTTGTTTCAACTGCCATACAATTTGAATCTTATGCTCACTTTTTCTTTTTTTTAAAAATTTTTTTCCATTATATTCAATATTTTGTGACGAATGTTAAGATAGGAAATGATCTGTTTCTGAAAAATTCCTCTGTTTTTTTACAAAGTGATAAAAGTAAAAGAAATATTTTATATGGGTTATCCTTATTTTTTAAAATTTATCTTAAACTTATTTTGCGAATTTTTATTGTTTAATTTTTTGTTATAGTAAGCATACCACTTTTCAGTGTAATCTTTTTTTCCGTCTCATAGCTATTGAAGATTTAGTTAACAATTCAGAAGTGGAAAAATTTGATATGTTGGATGGCAGCATTCACAAATTACACAAAAGTGCTTAAAGCGATCTGCCTCATGTTTTTTTTTTCAGAATGTTTAGGACTCTTTGAATAATATATTATAAAGATAGAAAACAAATTTGTTTGATGAATTAAATACTCTTATAATGGAATTTTATAAGGGTAATGGGAGTCATTATAGTTTACTTTAATAATAGGAAATCAAAACTTGTAATATAGAGATTTATTGTTCCAAATATTTGAATATATCTTTTATCACAGCTTATTTAAAATGTTTCTAATCTTATTTAATTTCCACAAAATGTTTAAAATTGTGATTATTAGTATTTATATTTTTGTGAAAAATTTAGTTTTGTTCAAGACTAGTGAAACACGAAAAATATAAAGTTTTCATTCTTAAATAATAAACCAAATTATTATTTTCGACCATATTAAATCATTCAATTGACTCATAGTAAGATATTAAAGTAATAAAGGTTTAATAAGTTATAATATTTTAAAACAACTTACAGAAAAGACATTCTCAAACTTAAAAGGAAATTAGCGGATCTGTGTGTGAAAAAAATGCTTTTGATTCAATCTGTGTTTTATTTAATATTATAATTAATTCTTTTAGTGAATGGTTCTTATTATAGTATAATTTGCTATTAATATTAATAATAATTTGAAAAGTATGTTTCTTAAGTTTTCTGTTACCTCATTAATAGTTTAATTTTTTTTTTTTTGAACTGCTGGAGATTTGAAAGTTAATAAGGATTTTTTTTTGTCATTTAGATCATATTTTACTGCAAGAAATTTCTGTAAGCTTTTACAGAATGATAAAAGTGGGCGAGTTTCAATTCGTCATTTTTTCAATTATGTGATGAGAAAAGTATGGCTCCATCAGACAAGAATCGGTTTGTCATTTTATGATGTAGCTGGCCAAGGTTACCTAAGAGAAATGGTAAGCTCTTAAAATTATCTGTTTGAAATATTTTTTGCATTTTTATACTTGTAGAACTAAAAAAGAAACCTTATTTAAGTCTTTGAATATTAAGAATTAATTAGAATTTTATATTTTCAAAACTATATTTTGCAAAGTAATTGGCATTCAAGGCTCTTTAATTTCAAATTGACTGTTTTGTGTCATTTGAAACAAACTAAAATATTACTGCCTTGTCTATTGAATTTCAAATGGCAACTTTTTCTTGCAAAATATTTATAATCTTCTAATTTTGTATAAAATTCTAATATTTTTCAGCTTTTTAAAGAATTTCTACTGTGTTATAAAAAATATAAAAAAATGTTTCAGTAAATTTTGCTTTTTAGTTCAAAACTATTTAAATTTTTTTCAAGAACGTAAAAATACAATAACGATTATCATATATTACTAATTTTGATTCTGTTGCTTTTCACTTTATCTATGTTTAAATAAGAGCTACTAAAAAAAATTCTATTTTGACTCCTGTTAAAATTATTGTTTATGTCTCTTTTTAAAATTGGTAAAGAACAATGCTTATTTCTTTTACTTAACTGCAATAGATTAATTGTTGTGACAGGATGAGTTAAAATTCAGTTGGTGTTCTACTAAGAAGCCTCTTCCTTCATAATCTTGGATTTGTAATTTTTTCCAGCATTCCGTTGTATCTCGTCATTCATGCGTCTTTTGTTTCCCGTATGTATAATCTTGTTTAAACAGTACCATTACAATTGCTATTCTTCTGTTAATAATATCCATTTAGATCGCTTTAGTCTATCGTTCAGAAATTCTACTGGCATAAAAAAAAATCAAAGTTATTTTGCTTAAAGAAGAAAAACAGTAATTGAGTCCTGATGCAATTAATGAAAAGGAAAATAAGTTTTTTGTGTTCAGGTAAAAGGTCACAAAGAGCATGTTTAATGTTTATGCATTAGTATATGAAAATGTTTAAACTTGTGGTTCATGAAATGATCGCAGAAGTGCACAGTGAAACAGTTGAAGAGAATAAAACGGAACCAGAAGTCATTTTAACATTAGCGGAAGACAGAAGAGCCTTTCTAAAAATGAGGAACTTTCTGTATTCGCATAAACTTACAGAAAATAAACAGCAATCTGTTACAAGTGTTGAATTGTTAATTGATAAATCTTATTAATGATTACTCTTAAAGTCTACTCTATTAAAGTTTACTCTTAAAGTCATATTTGAGCTCTAGCACAGTCTATTTAAGTTTTTGTATCAATTGTAGAATTTTGCAGCTCTATTTTGATAGCAAACACCAGTTTCTTCTTGGGCACTTAATGCTGCACCCAGATATTAAAATTCCTCATCATTTTCCATTTCTTTTTTAAGGTACATGTCAAAAGTTTTACTATTAATTTGAAGGAGCTTCGTTTCGTAATCCAATTAATTCTGCATTTTTGGCTATAAAATCAGTTTTTATTTCTGTAAACTTTGATGACAAAAGCACAATACCATCTGCAATATCCAGAAACCTTTTGAGCAGGGGTAATAACTAAGCTATTTATATTCTTTTTGTTGTGTTTTTTAACTTTATTATTTAATTTCACCTCTGTTTAGATCTGTTTGTTTTGTTTAGATAGTAAGATAATATATATCCTAAAGACCCATAATTCCAAAATCTATCATAATGTTGATACATGTTAACCTCTCTTCATACAACTAATTGTTTATCTAATGCTAATATACCTTTACTTCTGTTCCCTCTTCTTACAATCTCTCAACAAGTTTTTAATTTTTAGGAATTTATTTATTTTTTCCACGAAATTTAATTTTAATTTTCTTTCTTAATTCTATAATCTACTATATCATAAATAATATTGTCTAAATTTTATGATTTTTTTTTACAGGACCTTGAAAATTATATTTTGGAGTTAATCCCTACTTTACCTCAGGTAATACTATTGGAATTTGTTTCAGTTAGTTGTACTCATGTTTAATTGCATTTGATTTTTATTATTGTGTATTCTAATTATATTTGTTTAACTTTTGTTGTATTTTGATTTAATTATTTGCATTTACCAGTTTACCTGGTTTCCAAAAAATGGTAAAAGACACTAAAAAATTTAAGAAACATAGAAAGAGACAATTAGATATGTTCTTCTAAGGAACTTGTAAATTTATTCCTATCAAGTTGCAAAATTATTTGAAAATTTACTCAATAGATGGCACTTGGGAATGCATATATAATGTTTTCTGCTGCTCCATATTAGACTATTTACCCTGAAATATTTTTTAAAAAGGTTGTTAATTTTGTACTCAAGTATTTTGATTCTGTTTATGTTTTTGCATTAAATGGTAGTTTTTTTGAAAATATGGTAAGATACAGTTCCCAGTAGATCACCAAAGTCAATCATCATTGTCAGTGAGCAGGTGGGGGACCACTCTCACCTGCCTGCGAAGGGAGCGAGTTTGTGTGGTATTCATAAACTGTTCAACTACTAAGTGTTCAACCTCGTGCAGGTCGTCTTGGTATAAATTGGGAGAACCACTCCTTCTACAGAGGACCAAAATTGTGATGAACCTCAGGTATGTTTCAATGATCACAATTTGTCTATTGTGCTGCTCTAGTTCAATGTAAATAAAGTACTACTATTTTTTCTCAGTTAACAGCGCCATCTGTATACAAACTTTGTAGCTAGTTTTAAAACTTGGTGAGAAAAATATATAGTTCCCTATGCAGAATTTAGATAACCGTTCATTTTTATATCGTTTGATTCTTCATTTATTTATTTTTCAATGTATGGTAGACATGGTAATTCAGTTATAAGCATGCATTTTTATGCATTCAGTTGTAAGCATTTAACTTTCTTTAGTTTACATTTGATTGTATGTTTTTTAAGCTTCATGAGATGATTTTAAAGAAATAATTAAATTGCAGCTGGATGGATTAGAAACATCCTTTCACTCATTTTATGTCTGCACAGCAGTTAGAAAGTTTTTCTTTTTCTTGGATCCATTGAGAACAAATAAAGTAAAGATCCAAGATATCTTGGCCTGCAGTTTCTTGGATGATTTATTGGAGGTAGTAATGTCTTATTTCTATTAGAATTTTATTGCTTTTTATTATACTTCATCATAAGTGTTGTTTTTTACTACTTATTATTTAAAACTGATCTTTGGTGTTATTTTGTACTATATTATTTTTGAGTAGTAAAACAGTAAAGAGTTTGAGTAATAAAGCATATTAATAAATTGTAAATTATTTTCTGTTAAAACAACTATTTTCTTTATTTTGTACCTTTGTTATGATTGCATAACTTCTTTAAAAAATGTGGTAAAATACTAGTTTCAACTTCAAGTAAATCATTTAAAACAATTCTTGTGGTATTTGATGTTAAAAATATTAACTATTGTATATCAAAAACTTTTTGATGTTATAAAACGAAACAATTACCTTTTTGCTTGCGGAGGTTTTGTAAAGACTAAAAATAAATAATAAATAAAAATTCTTAATCTGCAACAATATATATGTATATATAAATAAAGAGAGAGAGAGTTTAGTTTTTATTAAGAAGCATCATCATCACAATTGAGATAAGCTCTAAATTGGTGCTAATAATGCTGCTTTTTAATAAGATAATGTCACTATTATTTTATTCTTAGTGTCGCAAACTATTTTTTTACTTAGTAAATATTGTTATTTTATGTAGTTTTAATTTTTATCTAAATTTTCAAACGTTTTCCAAAGTATTGCCTTAAAGAGTTTCTAAAATGACCTTTAATTTAAGTAAAAGTCTCTTAGACGATCATGTTTTTCCTAGAAACCTTCAAAAAACTGTAATTGTGGAAAAATAAATAATAGTCAAACGAAAAAAAATCAAGCAAAATAGATAGTTTGCAAAATGAAAAATGTAGGAAAAATGTACAATTTTGTTAGTTGTCAGTTTTTATAAATTTTGAGTGCGTTACAGGAAGATTTCAAACAAATTGAAAATACTTTTTATCAATTTTCTTATTTTTATATAAGACATACTAAAAAGCTTTGAGATTACTTACTCTAGTTTTATTGGCCCACCTAATGTAGCTGTGAGCAATGAGAAGTCTCACTTAGAAAAGAAGAGGTAGGGTAATAATGTATAAGTAAAGTTATTCGTCATGACTCATTTATGTATTATTTAAAACTATGCATTATTTGCATCTTACAGTGAATTTTCAGTAAAATATATATGTCATACTATTCATTTTTAGTATTAAACAATTGCATTTAATATTTTTCATTCATGCTGATATTGTTATTTTACTAGTATTCTTGTGCTTTCATTATTTTTGTATCAGTATTGTATTGTTATTCAATATTAAGGAAACTAGGTAATGATTTATTATATTCTTATTTTTGTCTCACTTATATTAATTTGATATCTATAATTTTTGCTATACCTTTGAAGAGAATTTATTAAGGGCAATGATTTCAGTACAACCTTCATAAAATTTACTCTTAATTTATGTAGTTACGAGACGAAACACTTCCTAAAGACGTTCAAGAGGCTAATTGGTTTTCTGCTCCATCTGCTCTGCGTGTGTATGGTCAGTACCTTAATCTAGACACAGATCACAATGGCATGTTAAGCAAGGAAGAATTAGCTAGGTATTTTTCTTGTAATAAGATTATTTTTCTGCTATATTTCAATATTTTTATTTTCTATGTTTCTGTTATATTGTTACCTACTACATTTACTGATTAATTTTGAAAAGCTATTGTAGTGTGCGGACATCTTCGCCAGAGGGTGCTTTGCTCCGAAAAAGTAATTAATAAAAACGGAACTGGCTTGAGAAGTCAGATAAAATCATGTCAATAACTTACATTTCATATTATTTTTATATATGTTAATAATAAAAAGTGTTGTCCTTACAAGTGAGAGTTTTTCATGAGAAGCAACCACATAATATTCATAAAGGAATGTTACAGCTATTTTAATCTGTTACCTTTTCATATGCTATGTTAACTGTGTAGAAACAACAGCTTATTTTTATGTCACTGCTGCAGAAGTTTGAAAAAAAAATTCTATGAGCTTAAAAAAAGAGCCAATTATAGATGATTTCTACATATTATAGTCCAGATAGAAAGCTTTTGAAAACTAAGAAAAAGCTTACCTTCTCGACTAATGGTCTCTAGTTGTATTGCTGCTATTTTTAATGTTTCTCAACAACTCTATTTTTAGTAACATGGCTTACAATTTGTAGACCATCTCCTAATTGTTTCTGTTGAGAAAAACTTATAGTAGCTGGGTGATTTTGATAGACTTTGGAAACTACAGGTTCTTCAGATCCTGGAGTACAATATTTCTGGGTCATTTCGCATCTGCCAAAAATTACTGTAGTCGAATAAAAAATACTGATTTGTTTAGAAAAATTCCTTTTGATGTAATTTTGAGGAGCGAGTTCAATATATATTTCTCTTTTTAATATAATCGCATTTGGCAAGGTGGCGAAGACTAAGCACGGGTCATGCATATTAAACTTGTGAAGAATGAAATGTGTTTCTCCTTCATAAATAAATGAAGAAAAAAAAATTTATTATGAAGTCAATTTGCAGGTGAAGGTGAATTTTGTTTATCGTGTTTGTTTTAATTTTTTGTTTGTTTTCATTTTAGGTATGGGACTGGAACTTTGACACCAATTTTTATTGAAAGGGTGTTCCAAGAGTGTCTAACCTACGACAGAGAGATGGTAACTCATTCATTACTTAATATTTCACACTGTTTCAACTACTCTTTGTAAAATGTTTATGCAAAGAAAATAACTTCTCATATTTTGAAACGGTGAATTGGTTGATCTTTTCAGTGTTTATTCACATCTTTTCTTCCCTCCCTTTCTGCTTTAGTTTTCCTGGTAACATAAAATTTCGAATTTTAAGTTTTATAAATAAATAATAATTTTATAAATAAATAATAGTATTGTAAATAATAAATGCAATTCATGGTCTCATTGGTCACACTATAAATATGGAGTATTAAGTTTTTCTCCAGTTCACAATTTGTTTATTATTTAAGATTGAGATACAATAGTTAAAACTTGAGCTATCATAGGGAAATACTGGGGTTTAAATCTCAATAGTTTATAATCTAATACTTTCAGATCGGACCGCGAAGGGGTCAGGGAATTGTTCTTGCATCAGAAAGGTTCTGGGTTTTCCTTTGCATGTTCTTTCATTCTCTGTACTATCTGTTCTTACTGTGGGAGTAACCTAGGCCCTCCTTATATTGTGCCCCTGAAAGGGTGGCCAACAAATCTGCCCTTATGTGCCGAATTGACGGATGTCAACCCAGGTGGCCATTGGAAAAAAGAATCTCCATAGGGGCTTGATACGTGACTAACTACGCATTAATAGATACCAACTTGTCTGGAAAATAAAGACAGTCAGTTTACAATGCTGACCACATTGCCACCATCAAGCTGTTGATTCCAAAATTGTAGAGACTTAACCTTCATAACTTCCATGACTTTTAAGAGACTGCTGTGGGAATTATTTTTTATTTAAGATATAGTGAACAAATGATTTCTGAATTTTTTCAGTTGAGATATGATTTTTTGAAAAATCTCTATTCATTACAATGTAAATTGACAATATTTTATTTGTTAAAGAGAATTATTTATGTATTATAATTTGTTTGACTATTTCCTCCTATAATACAAATCACTCTTGTTTTTTGAGTTAATTAAGTAAGGCTTGAACTAATAGAAATAAATAAAAAAAACTAAAATAAATAAATAATTATAAATGAAGGGAAATTATAGTTTTGCTACCTGCTCTGGTTATTATTTTTCCCTATCTTTAAAGCTTAGTCGCAAAATTTGTCAACAGATGGTACTGCTGACTTAAAAACAACTATTGATGCTTTTTGCTGCAAAATAGACTTAGTTCAATGTAATTATTTATATGAATGTCACTTTGTGCCACATTGTTGTAAATACTGTTTGTAAAGAAAAATTGGTTTAAAGTTGTTCTCAGTTGGTGGTGCCATCTATTGAAAATCTTTGAAGCTAGTTTTAAAACTTAGTGAGATTAAATTTCTGGTTTTCTAAATACACAGCAAACTGTTCATTATTTCCATCTTCTCATATTTTTCTTTAATTCAATTTCCATATTGTTAGTAATTTTTTAGGATTACTGTTACTTTCGAGTGATAAATAAAGCATTATGTTAATTCTTTTTAATAATTTTCTCAAATTTTAAAGTCCTTATAATGTGTATGAATTAATAAATTTTACTAATTTCCATTCAATAAAAATATTGATTAATTAAAATATTTTTCTAGGACTATAAAACCTACTTAGATTTTGTTTTGGCTTTAGAAAATAGAAAGGAACCTCAGGCATTACAGTATTTTTTCAGACTCTTAGATATTGAACAGAAGAACTACCTCAGTGTGTTTGATTTTAACTATTTCTTTAGGGTAAGCATTTGAAGAAATATTTTACTGTATGATTGCTATTATAAATAATTTTTGGCTAAACTTGTATATGATGAATTTTTGATGCGTTTTCTTGCGAATTTAAAGATATACTATTAAATGTAATAAGATTTTCTGGTTATCTTTCTTCTTTGGAATTCTTTAATATTTTATTTTCAATGACTTCTTAAATTTTTTATTTCACACCAGTTTGTGTTTTACATATTTTTAATTTTAAGATTTTTTTTTCTCAAATGATAGAATTATAAATCAGCTTATTTTAGGCTGGTTCAAAATTTCAGAATTGAATTTTGTCATCAATGGTTTAAGTTAAAATTAATCATAGATTACTTTTTTTTTTCAAATTATGGTTCATAATATTTTGAAGTAATTTAGTTAATTGGATTTCATTAGTGGGATTTAAATTTGTTAGTTTTATTTTATAATAAATACATTTGCTTTTAAATGAGCATAAAATTTATATCCTTTTTTAGCTCAAACACTAAAATCCTCAGTTTAATATGTTGAAAATGTTAAATAAAATGCTTAAATTTTACGTTAAAGTTGCTTGAAGAGACAGGATGGTTTTTTTCTTCACTTTAGAAATTATTTAATTTCAAGAAGTGCTACAAAATAATTTTTTTTTCTATAATAATATGAACAATATTTTTAGCTGTTTTGAATTTTCAATGTTTTTTTAAATGTAAAAAATTAAAAATATTCCTTAAAATTATTTGCACTGAAATTTTAATAATTATCTGTGATGAATCATCTTCAGAGTATTAACAGATTGTGCCCTGAAGAAGATGCTCCAGAATTGCACTGAAACTTGTATTCTATTTGGACTCTTTTAATTCCAATTTTATTCTATGTTTGAGTTTTAATGTTTGCTTTTATCTTTTTTAGCATCATCAGGATTAGAATGTTGGTACTAAAAAATTCTTAAAAAATGCAATAAAAAAGCCTCTAAAACCCATTAAGAATGATCTTAGGAAAAATAATGCCTTAAATTTTTTTAGAAAACACGTTTTATGTTAGTTTTTATTTTTAAAGTTATAAATTGTAAGTTGTATTTTTAAGTTTAATAAAAAATAAGGTAATAATTTAAGTTAATATGCAATTTATGAATAAAATCAATTGTCAATAAACATTCAATAAAGATGAATAAGAATTATTTATTTTTGTTAACATTGTCTTCAAGAAGATCTGAATTGCATATTTTGTAATCAAATGCTTTTAATTATCTTGAAATTAAAAGATTGTCTGTTGTCCAAAAGCAATTTCTTATATCTTAAATCTAAACCTGTTATCAAAGAAAATTTGAAATTAAAAAAAAAATTTCAATGCAAAATTTACACCAATTTATAAAAAAAAAAATTTTTAACTGACAAAATGCTCTTGAAATAAAAATTACACTTCTAAATTTATAAAAAAAAATTTCAAAAAAAGTGAAAGAATAGTCTAAAATATAAAAAAGTTACAAAAAACGCTATGAATAATGCCTAATAAGGAAAAATACAAAATATGCAAAAAAGCATTTATTATCGACATTCTAGTCCTGATCACTTCATAGTTTTTATTTTTCTTAAAATGTGAAAATAATAGATTATATTTTGACTCAGCCCTTTAATTTAACCAAATTATTAGGCTATCCAAGAGCAAATGAGAGCTCACGGTCAAGAACCCGTCCTTTTTGAAGATGTTAAAGATGAAATATTTGATATGATCAAGCCAGCTGATCCACTTAAAGTCACTTTACAAGATCTGATTTTAAGGTATCTTTAAGTAATTGTAGTTCGTGATGTTTTAAAAAATATTTTCTTCAAAATATTGACGAGAATAATAAAATTCGATATGCTCCGAATGCTCAAAAATAGGCGCTCATTCTTAATTTAAAAAAAAAAAGTGATTTGTAGTAGATAAAGTAAAGTTGAGAACAAAAATGGAAAATAAGGGGGGAAAACAAAACTAGAAAAACCACAGTGGCAGAGAGGCAAATCAGTTCGAAGTGCATTTCTACACTCTACGGAGTGATGAGGAATTCATATTGTTAACAAGAAAATTTGCATTCGTATAAAAAAAACTAGATTTTCTATTTTTTTTTTTAAATATTTTTTTACTCTTAGCTACCAAGGTTTTTCTAGTCATGTTTTTTATCTTTCTTTTCCATTTTTCGTCCACAACTTTGTATTTTCTGCATCAAACCACTTTTATTTCGTCATTCACAATAGGGGCCTATTTTTTAGCACTGGAATCATGTCTACTTTTAATACAATCTTCAATATTTTGAAGCAAAGGAAGTTTTTAAATTATGAAGTATTTCTTTCCACTTCAGATTATTCATTTAATATTTAGTAGATGTTTCAAGAAATTCTGTAAATAAAATTTTTTTTTTCCTTCCAATTTCAAGTTCTAAACGTTGCTTGCTTTCTTCTATGAAAAGTTTCGTTTATTAAAAGTAAATTTTTTGTCGTAAGTTTCATGCCATTTTCAGCATTTAGAAATTTTATATTAAAATTTTGTTTCTTGCTTTGCTAGTAATAAACATATAATTTAAAATATGATATTTATAATCGTGATACTAATAGTTTTTGTCTTCAAAAAAAATTTTTGTAAGGGAATTGAAAGAAAAAAAAAGTTTAAAGAATAATTCTATTTACCTTATTTCGTGTTTAAACTATATTATTCTTGTAAAAAAATTGAAAAAAGTAACTAATGTAAAAGATACATTTTGAGAAAGGTAAATTCAATGAAAAAAATATAATTAGATCAAAATGGCTATTTATTAGAAAATAGAAATGGTTTTGATTTAAAAATGGTTTTGATTTAAAAATGGTTTTGATTTAAAAATGGTTTTGATTTAAAATCACATTTTGTAGTTGAGTAATTTTTTGTTTTCTGAAAAACTTACTTCTTGTAACAATTTTTTTTTTAAAAATCAGAATAGTTTAACTTCTTCATAAAATATCTATTTTTACTTTATGTAAATTTCCAAATAGTTTTGAATTTTTTTAAGAATATCATCTAAAATTATTTTATAATGTAATTATTAGTGATAAAAACATTTTTCTTTTTTAATTCATTTTAATATTTTTCATGTTCCAGTGGTCAAGGTGATACAGTTGTGAGTATTTTAATTGACTTGAATGGGTTCTGGACTTATGAAAATCGGGAAGTTTTAGTTGCAGAGAGTAATGATGAAGCAGATGTTTGACATCAACTTTTGTATAGATTTAATGCTCATGTTTCATACAGATGCACATGCACAATGTTTTTACTTTAACACCTTTTTTTTAATTGATTGCAAAATAAGTCATTGGAAAATCGAAACCACATTTGTTTTTTGACGAAGCACACTAGTGATGTTGAAAATATTTACATTAATGGGAACGTTCGTCTTCTGTTTATTGTTTCCTTCTGGGTTGGCTTGATTTAAATCATTTGATTTTTTTAAAAAAGACCTTTAAATTAACTGATTTTTTTTTAAAATATTGGTTTAAATCAACTGATTTTTTAAAAAAATCATAGATTTAAATAAATTGATTTTTTTTTAAAATCATTGATTTAAATTAACTTAATTTTTTTAAAATCATTGATTTAAATCATTTGATATTTTTTTTAAACAACTGATTTAAATCACTTGATTTTTTTAAAAATAAATCATTAATTTGATCATCAGTTCATCATTGATCCTTTTTAAAAACATCAAGTGATTTAAATCAATTGATTTTTTTAAATTTAAAAATACATTTATCTGAGTCAAAAATATCTTTTGCTAGCATAATTGATCAATATATTCTTAAAATTTTGATTTTTTAATAAAACTGATTTTATTGATATCAACGATTTTATCCAAAGAAATAATAATAGAGAATAAGGCATTCTATTTAACGTTCAAAAAAGACTGAAAATATAAGATTAAATGAGTATTAAACTAATGTGAAATTTTCTAAATTATAAATTTCTATTAGCTGTATGTAAAATATTATAATTTAATTTTACCAATATCAGTTTTGTTTTCTGTTTATTTAAACACAAATAGTTTTAGAAGTTATAAAACATATAGTTTGTGTAAATAATGAAAAAAAGACTTGTTCTGACATTAGTAATTGAGAATGCTTTTTCTGGCATTTTATGTTTTAACTGAATATATTCTTCATTTGATATCTAACTGACAAATTGTGTCATTGTTTTTACAAATTAATATAAGTATTGAATTAAAATAATTATGATTTTTTGCATTGATTAATTTGTTATTATTATGTAATAGTTTTAACCATCATAGTTCAAAATATTAGACACTTAAGTTTAAGATTGTTTTTTAATAATATTCAGCTTTGATTTATATGTGTAAAAAAATCTGATTTAAATTTTTAAAAAATCATGATTTTTACCAACCCTGGTTTCCCTATTTATTAACATGAGAAAATTTCTTTGTTATACAGTAAAGCATGTGAATTAAATTGTGGTTTTCTATAAGAATTGTTAAAAGGAATAATACTTTCAAATTCAGATATGAATGAAACATTGTAATTACAGTTGAACCTCGATCAACCGAGCTTCGATCAACCGAGGTTTCTGTTAACCGAGGCAATAACGAAGTCTAAGTTTTTTTTCTTCTTTTTTTTTTAACAATGCTACACCGATGTATCTCCTGTTGCTCAAAAATTGGCGCTATAGGGCAGCCCATGATAGAAATTCTGGACTTTTTCAACGAAAGGTAACAGACTTTTTTAAAAGAATGTAAATTTAACAAATTAATGTACATTAAATTTTAAAAATACAATATTTTCGTGAGGTTTGTGCTATTTTTGAGAATGCGTCTTTCGATATTTAACTACGTATAGTTAAAAAAAATTCAATTTTACTTTTTAAAATTTACTACTAGAGTTGATTTTCTTTTTAAATCTTTTTAGCTGTGAAACATAAGTCATATATGTTTATTTTCATCATTTAAAAAACGTTCTATTGTTTTTTACTTTGAAAGTAGTTAAATTCACAAGCACGGAAGGTTTTTATACATGGTTTCTATTAACCGAGATTTCCGATAACCGAGGTACTAGCGGTCCCAATTAGCTCGGATAATCGAGGTCTTACTGTACTTATACACAACATGATTTATGTCAATTTTTTTGAAAAATTTTGCGTGCTTTTTACATTGTTTAAGCAAACTATAATACTTATTTTTTAATTTAAAAAGGAAACACATGATGTTTAAGCATATAATTTTATGATATACGAAAATTATTGATTTAATTTTGTAAATATTTTCATTATATTGTATGTATCTATACATTCATATTTCATTCACCATGTAATATTTATAATTAAAGTCATTAATTATAGTTAAATAATATGTTCAAATAAATCTAGTTATTTTTCTACAAAATCTTGTTTGTTTTCTTATTGTTTTATTTATTTTTTCGTAAAAAAAAAAACATAGATCAAGCTGGTTTATTCTTTTAAAAAAAATTAAATTTCATAATTTTTCTTTTCAGTTGTCTAATAAATCCTGCCAAGATTCTTACAAATATTAAGTAATTTTGAAAATTTTAATCTGGGTGTAATGTTTTTTTTTTTAAAATAAAAAATATTATAATGCATTAAATTGATGTCAAAAAAAAGGAAGGAAACAAACACGAATAAAGCTACTGTGCTTTGTTCATATTGATTTACTTTATTCATAAGTTTAGCCTTTATCTTTATGTGGAAATTCAAAGTATATATTTCTTCTCTTTCTGGGCATCCTAATTGTATGAAAATGCTATAAAATCATTTAATTAATTGAAATTTCTCAAAAATTTCAAATAAATGCTCATCTTTTTCATAAAATTCAAAATAAAAATATTTCATAAGCACTCTAAAACATGATGAAATTAGTATGAAAAATAATATATTAAATCAATGCAAAAATTAAAGTAAATTATCCTTCGTTTTGTTCACCCAAAATTTATGATACTGTATATAAATGATTTAACTACTAAAATGATTAAATTATTAAATGATGATTTAATTAATAGAAATTTCTCTCACTTCATAAATATTTTAATGCGTTTAACATGCTTGGAGTGTGCAAAACATTCTTGTCACCTGCACAAACGATTGGGAGGAAATGAAATAACATGTTTTGTTTTGAATATTTTGTTTTAATGCAGAAGTTTCATGGTAGATATCTTTAACTGATTTGCCTGTACATACGTGCTAAACTAAATTAGCCCTACAGATCTGATCATGCGCTGTATGGTCTTTGATAATTTTTTCTTTTTTTCTTTCTAGTTTTCCTGTATTTTTAATTAAAAATATTTTTTGATAATTAAAAATAAATTTTGATAGTTAGAAATACAGGATAGGGAAATTAGGTAAAATATGTTTCAACAGATGGCGTTGCTTGTCCATGTCCATGAAACGTTTTTCCTATGGGTTTTCTTTCAGAGAAAGGAAGTGGGAATGAATTTATTTCTCCTGAAATTTCAGTTACATTGTCTGCAACTCTCATAAATTGCAAATGTAATAGTCATTTTTTTTTCTCTTTTTTGAAATTCTTTTTTTCATTGCATATAAAATGTACCTGCGAAAAACAAACATTTAGGTATATTTGTACTTCTAAGTTATAAAATAAAAAATAGTCTAAAAACATAAAAAGTGAAGTAAAAAATATTCTCCCGTTTTCTTATTCTGTTAAATATGATGTTCAATTTTATTCAACAAAAAATTAATCTTTTTTGTAAATATTTTAGGTTTAAAAAAAATTAACCAGTTAAAGAATGAATGAGTATTTGAAATATATTCATTTCATTTGAATGTTTATTCAATGAATTTTATTAATAAATTTTGCTCAGTTTCAGTATTGGTTCAGATTGTATTGATTGAAATACTCAAAATATACTTAATTTAATATCATTCTTACAACAGTCTAAAGTTATTAGATAAAATAAATTACAAAAGCTTCATGTAAATCTCTATTATGATTTTTAATAAATATTACATATGCATGAACTCAAGCTAGGTTAAAAAATAAGCTTTTGTCTATCAAGGTAAACTGTTTATATTCTCTTTTGTTTAAATGGAAATTTTATTTTATAATACGTATTATGTAAAAAATCAAACTCTAGTTTAATTTGGGCCTGTTCTTTAATTTTTTTGTTGCATATTATTTTGTAGCATTTTATTTGATAAAAAAAGGAAAGAGCAATGTGAAAAGGTTATTCGTGTATTATCGTTCCATTATATTTTATTGAAAAAAAAATCTGAAAATGATTTTAAGGATTTGTTTGTTTTTTTTTAAAAAAATTGGTGCCTCTTTTGTCACAGAAAATATTAGCTACAAATAAATCAGGCGGTATAAAAACACTTTTATAAGTTGTATCATATAGTGTTTTCCCTTAATATCTGTACTGAATTTAAAAGCGGATTTTGACATTTTTTTGAAAAAATATGTGAGGATAGAGTTATACGCTTTACTGCACCAATTTTCTCTTTTAAGTACTTTTAATATAACCTTATCTTAAATATGCTAATTAATTAGTGCAGACGTTATCTTAAATTCGAAATTATTCACGGAGGCATACTTTCCCGGAATAAACATATTTTTTCTTCGATGGATTTCGTTTCTTGGCCTTCAAAATATAAGGAGTAATCGCAATATAGAATTAGAATTAATAGTTTAGTCAGGAGAGTAGTCCAAAGTTTCGACCCCTTAACCTTAGTTCCACTTTTGCGTATTTAGCTATATCTCGCCAAGTTTATAAACTGATGGAAATTTTTTCTCACTTATTACAAAATTCGTTGATTCAAAGGTATTTCCTTGTAAAATTTTTTTTTTAATAATTATGTATCATTTTATTTAATATTGATCAAAAATCTTTTGAAATGTAACGTGTTCAATTTTTTACATCATTTTAAACTATGTAATTTGAAATGGCAATGAAATATTAAACTTGAACAAAATCGATTAAGTAGTTTCTGAGTTATAAAATTCCCAAAGAAGCCACATTTTTAAACTTACATTTTTCAAAACCTATCCGACACATTTTCCTTCAAATTTTTCGTTCCGTTATTTCAAATTACACAACTTAAATTGTTTTAAAAATTGCATATCTTACACTTTAAAAATGTTTCGACACTAAATAAAATAATATTTAAAACTTATTAATTACTTACATTTTTTTGGAGAAACGAATTTCATACGTTTCGTTCACTAAATAAATTCGATGCTAAAAACTTTTTTTTTCATTATCTGTATTGAATTCGAAAGCTGGACTTCTTAAAAATACAAATTATTGTATTTTTTAGTGCTAAAGCGTGAAACACGGGGAATAGTTAATTTAGACCACCGTAGAAAATCCCCCCCCCCATGTCTTCCATAAGTGAAGCGCCCTTCGTATATAGTAATAGGTGTGACAAAACTAAAACGATTTTCTACTTTTTAGTGCACTTGAAAAAACTGTGTTTTTAATCTTTCTTTTTGTTTTTTATCCTGATTACATT